GTGGGGTGGTGGTGGGGGTGGTGGTGGCGGCGGCAGCGGCGGCGGTGGCGGTGGTGGTGGCGGTGGTGGTGATGATGATGACAACGACGATGATGATCAGAATGTGGAAGCAACATGACCATGATGGAACCCAAAATTTGAGACACAGTTGGCTCACCAGCCGCGTACGGAATAAAGCCAAATCCCCCAACCCATAAACTATAAGCTCTACAGGTCCCTGTGTAACATCCCTGTAAAACCGGCTAACTCTAGAAACACGGAACCCTACACTCTAAACCCAAGGCCTTTGACCCCAAGGAACGCTCAAACCGCAGTGCTCTGAACTCAAAGACTCGAATTTAAGCTGGAAATGCGCATTAAAGCCTACACTGAGAAACCCGAGTTCTGTAGCAGAGCCAGGTCCTATACGAGAAATCCGGAATTCGGAAACCCTAAACTTTAAACCCATAACTTATAGCCATGGAACCCTAGTCTAAACCCTGAACTGAAGACTCTGAGTTTCGAACATGGAAAATGGCGGAGCCGCATCCCTGAGCTCAGCCGGATAGCTTCCCCAGGATCATCCTGATTCCGGACCCCATCTTGAAGGTTTATGGGCAGTGAAACGCATGGTTGCCGGTTTTAAAGTAGTGATATTCGTATAGATACGTATATACCCACTTGAAGGCCCGACTTACTCGTTCGCATGGTCCTTTCCGTAAGCAGCCCTAAAGCCCTAAACCAACACTATCACCCTAATACGCCGCCTCCTTTACACAGGTAGCAATCATATGGTACCTTTACAATATCCTTCTGACTTGATATAGACATAAATAGTGCCCTTGTAGTAGCTCTTGTAGCAACCTTCTGGTAATCGTCATAGAACCTTTACACTAACCATTATAGTAAGCCTTTTTAGAACCTGTGTAGTGCCCTTATAGCAACCCTTGTAGCAGTACATTCACCCTTATAGCAACCCTTATGGAATCCAATCCTCATATCGACCCTTCTAGAACACTTTTAGTAACCCTCAAAGCAAGCCGTATAGTAAGCCTCATCCATTGTAGAACCCTTGTAGTTTTTGCAGCAGCCCTTATAGAGCTCTTACAGTACCTCTTACGGATGCCCCATAGAACCCTTATAGTAGCGGTTGTTAACCCGACAATGCCCTGATGGACACAGCTGTCTGGTGCTTAGGAGGGAATGGGGGAATGGATCCCTATGATAGTCCCTTAAGGTCCCTTATAGTAGTCCCTATAAGCCATTCCCCCATTCCCTCCTAAGCACCAGACAGACAGCCCTCAACCCTAAACCCTAAACCCTAAACCCTAAACCCCAAACCCCAAACCCTAAACCCACAGACAGGGCTGCTCCATCTTCGTCTTCAACTACAGCGGCTTCGGTCGCTCCGAGGGACACCCAACCCCAGGCGCCTGCTTTGGCGACTACCTGAGGGTTGTAGTCAACCCTAATTCTAGGGTTTAGGGTTTGGGGGTTTAGGGTTTAGGGTTTGAGGGTTTGGGGTTTAGCGTCTGGTGTTTAAGGCCAAGGCTTACCCTCGGAGCCAAGCCAGCACCCGAACGTGAGTTTTCTTGGGGTTGGGAAAGGCTGTTTTGGCTGACTTAGAGAGGGGATTACTGCATGGGATACAGTATGCCAACTTTATGGTGTTTGTTTGGATCCTTATTTACAGGGTTGTCTTCCAGGGGTTCTATGGGGGTGTTGGATTCACAGATTGTTACAAGAGTTTCACAAGCATGTTACAGTTGTCAAAATCATTTCGGATAATCTTCTCCTGGGATTTACTTAAAAGTTAAGACAGCACAGCTGCCATGAGGCCGTCTCTCTGAGGATGGTGATGCTGTGGTCGAGCCTTGCACTCTCACAGGGCCCTGGATACTTTAAGACGTGAGAGATAGGGTTTGAGTAGGGTTTAACGGCTTCACGGACAGAGGATTCCCTGAGGTTTTGTGAGACGGCTCTTTCAATAGTTTAAGATAGGCTTGGGAGTACATCAAGCCACGCGATTTCGCTACTAATTGTTCAGACCCCCTAGTTCCAGAGCTCGAACCCGAAGAATTTTGCCGAACAGTCCACCACCCAGACAGCGCTGAAAAGCCGAGAAGGGCGCCGTCAAACCTCAGATCCATCCTATCCAACCGTACGTAGCCAGGATGGAGATTTCCGTGAAGAGCTCCTCTAAACCCTAAACTTGCCTTAAGCCTCCCTAAACCCTAAACCCTAAACCCCAAACCCTAAACCCTAAAACCCTAAACCCTAAACCCCGGCCTCGACCCAACTTCGAAAGCCAGAAGCATCCTCCACGACTCAATAAGATCTATGACAGGGGCCTTAAGCAATCACAGCAAGGTTTTGGTGTATGTTATCGTACAGTAACACCGGGGCCACGAAGGGATGCCTTCATTGCTTCTTAAGATCCCTATACTAAACCCCAATCCTGCAGCCTCATTCCTTAATCATCGGTTCGATGTTGGCTAGGGGAATGAATACGGTTCGTTCAGATGTCCAGTGCGGGAGTACGTGAGGCAAGCTAGAGTGACTGGGTACATTTTGCATTTGTAACATCCCCTAATTGACAGAATCGTCCTAGACCTGCTAGACCCTTATTGAACCTTCGTGGGGTACCTTTAACCTAACGGAGCACTACCTTAGCGGAGGGACGAAGCTGTGTGCAGCTGAGGACTTTCTCAGACGACGGGGCTTCACGGAGGCCATGGACGTGAGATATGCTTGTTACTTTTTTTCTTCCGGGGCTTAGTTGCTATAAAGCTTACTATGAAGGATTACTATGTGGGGGCTGCTAGATGGATTACTGTAGGGATTACTTTAATTCGGGTTTCAGGGTTGAGTGCATGGTTCTTGGCCATTGAAGTGTAGAGTTTCACGGCTTTTTCAGTTCTTCGGCCTACGGTTTTCTAGAAGTTGTAGAAGTTCAGGGTTGAGGGTAGGGTTTTCTAGAAGTTAAGCGTGGACGGCACATACACGAAATCATCCTAAGCGGCGAGGATTGACGCCAACTGCGAGATCGCGACCCGAAGCCACAGACCCATCGAGCAGTTAGCATCTGTATCCTCAAGCACTAGACACCTTTAGATTGAATCCCGAACCCCTCAAACCCGGCTCTGAATTCCAGACCCGAAAACGAAGCCCTAAACCCTAAACCC